TCACACAACGGCAAAACCACGATCATGCGACCCGTTTGAACATGACACTTGCAAAGAATTATATGAACAGCGGGCTGGAGTTATCTAATACGAGGCCCTCTTCTGAGGCCGGTCACTAAACTTCATGGATCTGGCCCACTACACATTTTCATCCCCTATATTTTCATACATAGATACTATACACGTAGAAAACATTAATTTTGTTAAATTTTTGAATTTGGAACTCTCTTTACCTTTCTCTTGGTCAGCCCATCGATTGTCACACAATGGCAGAAGCACGATCATGCGACCCCTTTGAATATAACACTTGCAAAAAGTTATATGAGCAGTGGGGTAAAGGTACTTAACATGAGAGTTTCTTCAACGGTCATCAAACTATGGCACCCTGCAACCGGTCCTCAAAGATATACGGACAGCTCCCGATTTTTATGTAAGAAATATTAATTTTCTACAACGTGTATATCACAACGATTCTTCTATTGTTTTAGAAGTGATTTGCTATAGACATCCAATGGACTTATAATGAATATGTTTAAAAATGTTTCTCATTTCTATACTGACTTTCAAACCACTCTGTATATCTTTCTTCAGAACAGTATAGATAAGGCCAAAATGTAATACAATATTATAATACTATATATAAAAGTGGAGAACCCTAACAATAATCATTATTAAGATTTAAAATTTATGGAAGTGAACGAACTATTTTAAACGTCCTAAAATCATGAGCAAGTTCTTATTATGTTCTTGGCGCAAACGCGATATAAAACATCGATACCTGAAAATTTGAATATAAATGCGCATGTCATTCGGGTCACATTTTATCGGAAGTTGATACGTACAAGAATGGGTTACATTCGAATGCAATGATATGTAGATAATCACGAAGCATCTTCTAGTAATGGCACGCTTTGAATTTGGTGTATAAGAGGTTAGGAACGAGAAGGAAAAGAAGAAAGAAGACTTCTATGATTTATTATCGACTGCATATTCTGTTTCTCCTTTGTGCACGCCAATTGCGTTTGCGTTCATTCATCTTTTTCCCTTTCACGGCTCACCGAGCAACTTTTCCGTAGCTTCCCTTACCCCCTTCTTTGCTCGCCATCTTAATCTACGACCATCTCTCAAAATGACTGACTGCCTCCTTTATTATCCGCTTGTCAACGTTCTCATGCTGCTATCTATCGTTCTAATATCTATTGTCTTCGAGGCAAATTCGAATCGTCATACGTGAAGCAACTTTACAGGAAATTTTAAACTTTCATACCGTATACTTTTCGAAAATACTTTTACTCCATAAACAAAAATGTGTACAATTTTAAAAACATAAATTTAATATAAATTTAATATTCCACAGAAATTTGATGTTGGAAGGAAAAGAAATTAAAAAAATATGAATACTGTTTTACGAAGAATGAAAGTAGATAAATATTAAAAAAGAAAAATATGAAAGACAAGTGTTCCCCCATCTGTCGTTTAGTGAATAAGCAAAACTGGGAAACGTGTAAGATTTATTAGGTACACTTCGATATTATTCTTTGTTAAGTTATATTACTTTTACGATTATTACGAATCCCCTGTCTTCCCTTCAAATTTTTATGATGTCCTTTATAAAAACTTTTAAAGTAGACCCTTTCCGATCCTTTGATCCCACTTAGAGCGAGGTATCGGTGTGTAACCAGTGCCCTAATCCGGGTTGACAATGGTCTGCAGCATTATTAGGCTGTCACAACAAATTGCACAGAATGAGATGTAGGTACTGTTTTGCCTTACAAAGGTGGATTCTTACGGTTATTTACTGCACTACCTACTTCTCCTCGAATTCATTGATTATGTCATCTACGAATTTCATGCAGAGGCAATGGTAATTACATAGAATATTAAAATGTCATAACAGAAATATAAAATATAACGTAGTTATAAATACTATATGTTCTGAGTGACATTTTTGTATCATAAATTATAGTTCTGTGTATGGAACATAACCACACTGGGCTTGCATTTAACCCTTGTTTACTGTCTTAAGCTTTCAAAGGTCTGAAAAAAGTGTGAGACATGAAAATCTTAAATACAGGTAAATATTGAAAAAAGTCAAATACTTCTACTGTCTATGACCTAGATTGTGACATCAGTCATGTATAAAGCATCTCCCAATTTTTTAATATAATCCATATTGTGAACCTTTGTAATTATTAATTTTTTTTTTTAAATTTAAAATAGTGTTTTCATGTTAAAATTAAAAATATGTCCACTAAATTTCCTATATGATGATAAAATGATTTTGAGCGGAATTCTCCCAATCTTGATTAAACTATATGATATTTCGCTGAAGTGCAAATATTATCATTTGCACTCAGTTAAATTTGAAAGCAGTTTATTAATAAAGTGTGTTTGTATACAATTATCTCAATATTATCACAGATGTTCTACATCAATTAATAAATAACGTTTGAGTTGTGATATGTACATGATAAATATTGTTTATATGGGTGCATCCATCAATAAGACATCAAAGCTAAATTTTCATCCGGTTTGTAGCTGTCGTTTAGAAATCTTCGAAACGTGGACAGAAGGAGCGGCGAAGATGAAAGAGAACTATATTAGCCGTAAACTCATCCGTCAGCGTCAAAACGTCAAAGACTTGCCATTGGGGTATTAACGGCGCCATAACTTCACAGAAACAGAGCACGAGGAAGAGAATGTAGGAAAGAGAAAGATGCAAAGAAACAAAGACAAATATTCCGGGGAAGTAGATCTCCGAGAAACCTTTATTTCTTCTGGGAAATATTACACGATTGATAGACTCAATATTATCTTGTCTTCGACTGTTTACTTGAAAACGAAAATTCAACGAAGGGAAATACATTCAATACGCTCGTTATAACCCCTGCATCTTTTTTTCAAAGAATCCTTTTTAATCCTTTGTGCAATCGGTAATATTTTATTACTGTAAAAAATTAGATATTTATTTTTATGCAAGTATTACTAATAAATCAGAAATACTAAAAGTTCGCATGAATTTTTGTTTAGGTGTTTCTTACATATTAAAATATATTTTTAATATAATTCCGCAAATGTATGACATGATATCAAATTTTTTAATAAAATATTTTCAAGCGTTTTAAAAATGATATCTAAAAATCCTGTGTAAGAAAAGAAATCTCAAATTAAACTACGAATAATTATCGTACGTTGTAAAAATTTATGTAGTTCTCCTTAATGTAATTATAATTACAAAAGAAAATAATTTATAGTTTAGAACTGTTCCATTACCGACTAAGAAAACGGGTCAAGAAAGGGTGAAAATAAACGTTCTTGATACTAGTTTCTTAATTACACATCATTGTAACGTAGAATTTTTCAACTAATATTCAACCAAGCTTCCCTAATGCTGTTCTTGCTTACAGTTTACATAGCCATGATGCCATTATAATTCGTAATAACTATATTTTGCTCGAAGTTGTACTAAAAGCGAAACGGCTGCAATCTCTTAACCGCGCGTAACGTTCAAGTTCCAGCGCAGCTGGTATTCAAATTTTTTTAACGAGCACATTTGGCGAGTGTACAGTAACCTTTAATACGCAATGAATATTTCAGAACCTTAACATCAATGCTTTCCGTAGTATTACGAAATTACTCTGTAATGGCTGCCTACAAAGTTATAAACATTATTTATCATATCTCATTCTCGTATTAAATTATTGCTCATTAAACGACCGATGTAAAAGTTGTATGAACAGCATTTAAGTTGATAATTTATATGTACGAAATTATTTTTTAGTTTATACGAAGTCGATGAAAATTAAACTTTGTCAAAAAAAATATAATAATTACGATTGAAGAAATTTTTATTTATTTCATGTGGTATTTTTATCAGGGAATTATAAAAAATAAGTGTTTTATAATGTAAGGATTTTTAATCGAGTACTGCTAGTGAAGAACAATATCTTTTTTCACTAGTTTTATCACTATTTGTTCTTAGTCTTCATACTAGGATTAAACCTTTCGCTTTTTCAACAGAATATTAATTCAGCTATATCGTTCAGCTTAAAACCCGAAAAGCTAGTCATGTTTGGTATTATTTTCATAGTACAAATCCCAAACATACGTGTCCAGATCTAATAACATAATAAAAATTTAAAAATATATGTTTCCTGTTACAATCCGATAGTCTGCTTAGCAGTTTCAGAAATTGGTAAAGACAGCTGGCGGTCATATAAGCTGTTAGATTGACGGTGCTATATCCGGAAATCGGCCCATATATCGGTGTATAAAAACGAAAGAAAAGATTGGTAGCAAGGATCGCTTAGTATCCAGTGAGTGGATGCGCGCGACAAAGTCAAGGTGCGGTCGGAACGATAATTAAAACGCTTTTACAAAACTGTAGGCAAACAGCGCTTAAGTGGCTGTCATTCGTTACCCCGTGGGCTGTGGCAAGTCGGTAAGTCGCTGAGCGAGCAATCAATCACTCGACATTCCCTTCCCCACCGACCCATTACATTTCTATTTTGAAAGCTGCTTATTAAGCGGGGTCGGTCGGAGAGACAGACAGGTTTCACGGTATAAAATATCGGGTTGCCGTGCTGGCAGGGACGATTCCGTGTCGAGGTAGCTATGCCCGGCTACCCAGGAAGGGAACAGGCGCGGAGAGTAAAGGACGGAAGCGTAGAAGAGAGAGAACGAAGAAGAGAAGGGAGGGATGGCGGCTGTAAAAGCGGTGAAATATCAAAGCCGGGATGGGAGCTGTCATCGTCGGGCCAACATCATGGGTGGCGTGTTGAATTAGAATGCCTTCCCACACCCCACACAGGGCCAAACCCCACCGCAATTCTCCCACCATAATCCTACCGCTTGCAACGGTGGGGGATGACAGTAGAGGACAGGTTATATACTCTACTGTTAACAGAGAAGGAGGGGAAAAGACGATGTCGTGTCGCCAGGCGGCGCTGCGGTCGCATTCCACTTCGTGCATTGAACAGCTCCGTCGAGAGCTGCCACTATTTTCCTGGATTTCGTCGGGTGTACGTCGTTTGCGTTTAATCATTTCGCATTGTGGAAGGATCGATTAATTAACACGTACAACCGTGGTCGTGTTGCGGCGTTCAAAACGTTCATCGGACTAATAGATTGTTTCTTAACCGTGCACTGTGGGAATATACTTGTGATTTTGTGCAGTGATCGGTTTAATAAGTGTTAAACCAAATGGTTGTCCTAGAGGAAGGCGGTATGCTGACTACTGGACATAATCAATATCTACAACCGGATTATCTTTCTCCGCTTCCAACCACGGTTAGTATCGCTCATTCTGCAAAACTCTTCACTTTTGTTGCATTCGAGGTAATAATCGGAGCATTATTTTAGAAGTAAATAATTTCAATTCTCATGTTAATTTTCATGTTAACATTTTCATGTTAATGTCGATTTCAAATGAACACATTTGAGATTATTCGTTTGAGTATTCAAGTTGAAGATAATATATAAATTGAACTTGGTTCATCCGCGTTCCGACGGCGCGCGCTATCCGACGGGTTGCTGTACTCCATTTCGCGTTCGAACCCGACACTCCATTCCGCGTTCGAACCTGACGCTCCATACGTTTATTCTTCGATCTCTAAATTCGATTCCTACAATATTTTCTCATTTCTACGTTTTACTTTACAGTTGGATGCGAAGAAGAGTCCATTAGCTTTGCTGGCGCAGACATGCAGTCAAATTGGTGCCGATTCCCCGACAAAGCCCTTAATCTCTCCTCTGGATAAAACTCCCAAAAACATGAACGGCGGTGCAAACGCGAAATCTCCGCCAGCTGCAAAATTGGAGCGAAGTACCCGTAGCAGCCCGTCGGATGGGAAGTCGTTGGCCTTCAAGCCGTACGAAACCAACGTTGTTTCGAAGAAATCTACCGACGAGAGTAGACCAGCATCGAAAGCGAGTGTTCACAGTGTTAGTGGCCAAGACAGTGTCAGTGCGAGTGATAATAATCACACGGAGAAAAAGTCCTCTGGAAATCGTACGCCCGTCGGACGGAAGTCGGCGTCACCCGCTAGCCAAGCGACGGTGAGCACCACTCCGTTGGCGGACAGGAAGACACCGGTGGACCGTGAAAAAACTGACGGATCGCCACGCAACAACAACGGCACCAGTCCAATCATCAGATCCGGAATGGAGATTTTATCCGGTAGCCACGCCAAGGATTCGAATCTGGGCGCTTACAAGCCCGGCCTCACCGGATTCTCCAGCAATCCACTTTGCTGTCCACCGGGCCTAGCAGAGAATCCAGCCTTCAGACCACCGTTCGCCGGTGCATCACCTTTCTCTCATCATCATGCCGCGACGGCGGCTCTTTTGGGTTATCCATCAACCACTCCAACCGGTGGAAACCCGTATTTGAGTTACGCTCGCGTGAAGACCCCGGCTGGCGGAGAGGCTTTGGTGCCAGTCTGCAAAGACCCTTACTGCACCGGTTGCCAATACAGCATGCACAGCGCTCAATTAATGATGGGCACTGGAACTTGTCCCAGCGGATGCACGCAGTGCGACCATCAGAAGTACGGTCTGGCAATGGCGTTGTCGTCGTTGGGCCCCATGGCTCCTCCGTCGCTCTCCTATCCGTCCACGTTAACCGGCGGCAGACCGTACGTGTGTAATTGGATCGCAGGCGATTCATACTGCGGTAAACGATTCACTACATCGGAGGAGCTTCTCCAACATCTTCGCAGCCATACCAGTTTGACCGGCGGCGATCATGCGTCCTCATCGGCTGCTCTTCTCAGCAACCCACATCCTCATCCGTTGCTTTCGCCGTCGGCTGCTCTTCATCGTGCAGGCGGTGGATCGTACCCGACACCATCTTTGAGCCCTCTGAGCGCCAGATACCATCCATATGGTAAACCACCGACAGGACCTCTTCCAGCATCGCTCGCTGCCTCACCGTACAGCGCTTTTAACGCGTTGGGACCTTATTACTCTCCGTACGCCATTTATGGCCAGCGAATTGGAGCCGCGGTACATCCTTAAAGCGATTTCTTCTGTCCGACGGTTATCAGTGAACAGCGAATCATAGTGTAACATAGAGAGAGTTTTCGTAAATGACATTTTGACAGACTGTTGTGTAAATAAGTAAAACGTGTATCATATGAATTTATTTAAAAAAGGTATATATATACGTATGTATGTATATATACATATATATATAAACCTGTGTGTATAAATTCAAGATTACGATTAAAGTTTATAAAAATATCTTGACAAATTAACGTTTTATCGCGAGATCCTGCATTAATGTATCTTTTGATGTTTGATCATTATTTAGGGAGGAACGTGTACACCGTGGATGAATCATTGAACCTCTATAAAGTATGTTTTCTGAAAATGTAGTAGTGTGAATGATAGTTCTGTGAACAGTTGAAATTTACCTGTGCCTATATTGTTTCGATGTTTAACGCGATCTGATTCGCAAGGTGAAAATTATCGACCCGTGTGTATCACGATACTCGTGAATTATTTTCTGTTACAGAAACGCGGTCGTGCATGTTCTATGTCCACGATATAACTGTGATATTACGCTATTTTTCGAGGAAATAATAAAAAGATAATGTTAACGACGATAGCTAAGCTGTATTAATGGTGAAATATGTAATATCTAACTTAATCGTATCGTTTGTATCGGAGAATCTTGTAGAAATGGTTCAACTGGATGAAAAGATGAACGAAATTATTTCGTAAAACTTTCAACACGAAATTATTGTAAAGAGAATCTTTTTGACGGTCTTCTAAATTTGTTCATAAAAACACATTCAATTTTCATTGTTCGTTATGTAAATTACTATGTAATGTACAATAGATATTATTTGCACTGTAAATATTTCTTGTAAATATCGTTGAGTTTCCATACCGCTTTAATAAAAACAATGTTTGTGGAATCACTAAAATTTGTTTTATCATTTCTTTCTTTTTAAATCTACTTCAGTGAATTTTGCATATTCTATGCTGAAAATACGGGACTCGTTCCAGGTTGTTATTTATTCAGTTTGCTCTGAATACGGTAGAAGAGAACCATTAGCGAAGTTTTATCGATCATTCAATTGGGAATTGACGAAATATTGTCCCTTATAGTACTTTAATTCTTTAGTGACGAATGACGTGGTTTAGTTTAAATGTTGTTGCCATTGATGACACTATTTTAAGGATCGTAGGGGACCTATTACGAAAACGTATCAATGAAATAATCGACTCATACTGAAGAACGATTAAATGAGATCGATTCAGAATTCACTTCATTACGAAAGTTAAATTTCTGCTTCTATAACACGAAAACGCATCGCCCCGTCGCGTCGCGTCCGTAAGGTGTTAGATAAAATGAATCGTACAAAATTCCTCCATTTTCACTTTTTCAAAATGAGACTACTATTTCTGATACTTTAACTTTTTTATAAAATTCGGCCGGTAAACACATTTTCATTTTATTTGTTTTATGACATTTCCATGTTAGAAATATGATTTTGGTAACGAAAAGAATTATATTACATAGATAATTGAATTCATAATCTTTTGAATTATTTATAATTTTTTACTTTAATTGATTTTCATTTTAATCTGTGCAAATGATATAGTCGTAATCATTCTATAGAAATCTCTTTCATTATTTTAATCGTTTTGTAAAATTGTTAAAATTTCATAAATTAAAAGTTTCCATGCAATTATCATTGGAATAAATAAATTTTCGCTTTGATCGCAAACTTAATACCATTCTATATTTTCGCGATAAAATTCGAGCAATAATAATACACTGTATTTAGTATCGTACAATAAAAAAAATGCAGAATCAATTATATTTTAAGTAAAAAAAAATAAAATAATATTCTGACATAATATAATTTAATACACATGGTTTAATACACAGTTAAATATTCATAATGCAACAAAAATTAACATCACTTTTAAAATTTGCAGAATTATTTTCCATAAACAATTGCACAACTTCGTTTACAATAAAAAATTCATACAAAAAGAAATCTGCGTTTTTCTCGGAAATTAATTGTAGCAACGAAAAACAGTTTCGTATTTACAATATAAATCTTTCTAACATCTGTTGTGTGTTACAAAACAAAATATCGATCGACTGCAAATATTATGACCAAGTGCGCATTTGTTGCACGTTAAACAATCGAATTCATTGAGGAAACAATTACTTATCAGACAAACTGTTTCTATACGTAAAAATTTTCTTTTTGCACTTCTAACTAAAACATTCTGAACTTTACATTGAAATTCTTAGATTAGTACGTTACAGTAATATATGTGATACATAAATAAAAAGAAACACATGACAGTATAATTTTTAGTTATATTTTAATTAGTCGCTGCTTTGAATAGATTACGTTTAGATAACCGTATCTCTTTTTTAAATACACGTAAACTACGAGATAATTTTTAATTTTGAATATCTCGATGCTTCACGTTAAACATATTCTTTAACAATCTTATCCATAAATGCAACTTTATCGCTACTCACCTTCGTGGCACATTTTTATTTACAAAGCTCTGTATGTACTTTGCATGAAATAACTCGTAATTGAAAATATTAAAACTATTGAAACATTTTAATAATTACACACGTATATTATATAAGGACACTTCAATAATAATCTCATAAACAAATATTATATTTAATAATATATGCACTCGCATGTTTCGTGATTAATGACATTCCATTCGTTATCTCGCTACGTGAGTAATACGTAGTAGGAACGAAGCGAAGTCAACAGTTGCTTATCTGACGGCTATTTACCAAGCGGCCGCATAGCGACGCAGTAAAGTTTCTATCGAGGTGGTAGAAAGAAGCGAATAGATTTGAAAGGAAAAATAGAAGGTGGTATTAAACTTGAGATAATTTAAACGTGTTCGACAGCGGCGTTATCGATGGAGGAAAGCGTTGTTTCGACAAATCGTAGTCCAGAATAAATACATTTGGCAGGAAATAATGGAGGTTGAAAATGAAGAGCAGAGTTTAAACGGGAAACAGAAGAGAATAAATTCCAGGCTTCTGATTCGCACCACCAGGGTGCTTGATGTTCGTGTGCGCGCACGAACGGTTGGTCTCAATCCCCGGACCAGCCAGGAGAGTAAATTTATTTCTTTCATTACGGACGGAGCAGGTCGCGAGTTCTCGGATATCAGCACTGCAAGGCGGGGCGCATAAATCTGCAGCTTAGTGCCTGCGGGGAGGAGAAGACCGACGAGAAAGGATGAAAGGGAGGACAGAGTGGGTGGTTGAAGGTTTTTAAAGCCATGCAGAGGGGAAGAAGTTGCTCTACCCTCTCTGCGAACGTCGTTTCCATCGCTGGTGTGCCACGACAGGCGGTGGCAGGCTCAGCTGGCTCAGCAAAATGAAATATTCGGTGATTGTAACCGTCGGGATGAATAGTTTCCTTGTATTTTGTCTTCTTGACTCGTTCCATGGATCGGAATTCATGTTATTCCGCTATCATTACCTGCAACGCTGAATCTCAATTAGCGATTCGCTCGTACTAATTAGACTGTTTACGTGTACGTGAATCGAACCAAGCGATATTAAATCTTCGCGATTCGATCTACACTCGCTACAAGAAGTGTTTTACCACTTTACGTGTGGCCAGTTGTTGAATCACTTTTCTTATATCTGAGAGCACAATACATTTTGCTGAAGGGTAATCATTAGAGAGATAACCTTAAGATAAGTTTTCTCTTGGCACGTTTATTTGTCCCGTGTAAATATACATACTGTCAGAGTCGCATCCGCTGGTAACGTAAATAAAATACTGTTAAGATTAATTGCTAAATTCTAATGATAAATGACATTTTTACGTAGAATATTAATGTCATTAAATAAAATAATACTATCGGTTGCAACGTGGTGAGAATTAGTGTACGCGGTGATTCAATCTTCAGATTTTAACGTAAAATATATAAGCTTGAAAATTTACAAATCCACTCGTTTCTCCGTTCTTATACACTTGATTTTCTCGATGTCTAAATTTCCAGTCTAAATTCTTGAATTCTTAGATTTTCATATTTTCAAGTTTACAATATCAAATTGCAATATTGTCAATTTCTAATGTACGTATCTTTGAATTTACGAAACCAATATCCAAACTTACTTTACCAGTATACCATAGAACAATAAAAGTTTGATTTTTCTGAAAATTTCACTCAAAATCCAAATCATTGATATCACTCTTATCCACGAAACACATATTGCATTTTTGGAGTGCATAGAAAAAGTATAATGTGACAAACTACAAATGCTCCTTATAAAATCAATGTAAAAATGAAGACAACCTAAATGTACATAAATTATGATAAAGGAATTTTAAATTAGATTTAATGAAAAATTCCATAATTTTATTAGAATTTTAATGATTAAAGATGGTCCAGACTTTCCTTTGTGAAGATTAATGAGACTATTTTAGTCCAACACTCAAGTTCGCTATTCCACAGCAAGAAGAGAGAAACAATCCCCTGTGCGTGACTTTAGCTAAGTTTTAACTGGTAATTTTGTTAATTCTCTAATTTATATTTCGGACAGCTGCTCCTCGTATTGCTTCCTGCGTGACGTTAATGTGGTATTCGAAAATGTTTTGCTGTAAAAGAGCGTGTAACTTCACGTATGTGAGTTACCTTTCACGACTGTCGCGTTGTTCCATTTGTTATGTGAAGTACTCTCGTAAGGGCGAACGCAATAAATATTTATAGTGCACCTTCGATATATTGCTTTGCTATGTAGTTTCGACGTACGTTGTGATTGCATGTGAGATATGAATTAATACTGAATATCATATCACACATGAATTAGTATTGGAAATGATATACGTGAGGTATCAATTAATATTGAATATTACATATCTGAGACATGAACTAATTTGAGTATGTTAATTTTTAAATATTATATATTGAATGTGTACAAACACATAGATGATTTTCAAACTCTTTTTATATTACCATAATTATTTCCATTTGTACATTCTGAGCTCTTTGTAGTATTTTAGAAACCAGGTTGCAAATGAAAATTGATATGTATTTGTATTGCAGTGCATTTGAACCGAGATTATCTAAATATCAAGCATCATAAATTATATAACTCCTAATATGGAAGTAATATTAATACTAGATCTACTTGATATTTATACAAATTATACTATATTTATTCTACTGAAATTTGGAACCATTTCTCTGCAAAAGAAGTTGATGCCCACTACTTTTATATTTAAATACAGTGTAGTAAATTTAATATAAGTATAAACTATGTTTTTAATTTTGTTTCAAAGAGTAGAATATGGTATCCCAAACAATTTGCTTTCTTATGAATGGACACCTTTTTCTTATTAGCTGCCTTCATGGTCTTCAATAAATGTTCCCAACTCCATTCTACTTCCATCGTAGGTTTTTATACAACCAAGATATCTAGGCCAGGAAAAAGCAGTGTTAAAACCTGGCTGGAATTACCCTCAATTTTGGTCGGTATTACACACTACGTGTTCACATATTTAACTGAACTGAATCCGGATATCAAAAACTAAATGTGGATTAGAAGCAATTCTCTAATGATATTAACATTATTAAATCTTATTTAAAAATCGATTAATAATATGAAGTTACCTTACAAAATAAACATTTACGGATTCTTTAATGTTAATTTCTGTAAGTATTTTAAAATTGAAAATAAAGTAGAGAAATAGGTGAATATTGAATTAAATATAAATTGATGTATTGATCTATGTTTCTGTACAACATATTTCCAGAAATTGTTCACTGTAATTCAACATGTATTTAAAAAAAAATATTTTAACAAATTTTTTAGCTTAAATTAATAAATTTTGAATAAGTCAATGTTCAACAAGTTTTCATCAAGTCTTGATAATTTTGAAGCAAAAATAAAAGACCTTCATAGCCATAA